CAAGGGCGATGATGGTGCTTAACAAAAACTCGTTTTCTGCCCCTTCCAGGGCGCCTAGCTGCCACTCTACGGACTCAGTAAGTCTGTATGTATGTTTGTTTGTTTGTTTGTTTCTTCCTTACAGGGATGCATCGACATGACGTCACGGCATCGATCAATGTAGCGTACCATCCAGTGTGCAAGGGGCACGTCCGGGCCCAACTCTATAACCGAAAGCACGCCTCCAATGGCGGCCACAACTGCCACCGAACCCCTGGAAACTCCCCCCACAAAAACAAGAGAAAATGTCTGCAAGCCAGGAATCAGAGTGATAGCCTATTCCTCGGTCACCTCCTTTGCTCGAATGCGGTCACTCACGGAGCTTAGAAAAGCTCCCAATCGGCCGCAATGCAGTAAGTCTGTATGTACTGTCCTTATGTACACCGGACAGTTTTTACGTTGTATTTACGTATTTTTAAGCATTTTTACGCGTAAAAACGTAAATATGCTCAGTTTTTACGGCGTAAAACCAAGCCTGGAAGGAAAAACAGTCCCTTCCAAGCGTCATGTTACTATGCGGAAAGATTGAATGTACTAGTGCATTCAACCCTTCTGCATAGGAACATAACGCTTTGCCGTTTTTTGCATAGAAAACAATGAAATAAATAACGGTCTTCTATTCAAATGTTTGCAGAGCAGCGTAAAAAACATAGTAGCATATATTAATGCTCTGAAAAAATGCGAAGCAAAAAGCGTAATGGGAAAATCTTTTGTTGTGGAAAGGTTGAATATGCAACGTTGGTGTCAAGCGTGGCTTGGCGGTGGGACCAGACAACTTCATTGTTGCAGTTGAAAAGGAGTGCAGAATTATCAAGAGCAAGATCCGTCTCTGCAGGAGGAACCTGGGCCACGGTCTGCAATCCTGCAACCCCTTTTTAGGCTCTTCGAGCCAGTACTTTTTGCAAATCATCCGCACACAGCCCGCCAATCCTGGCACGAAGTCAAATTCACAGGGCGGACTCGACGTCCACACCGCTCTGGCCCCCAATCAAACGGCATTCTTAAACAGCGGGCGGCCACAAATGCGCCGGCGGCCACTGCCTGCCCCTCCTGCCCCCTGCCCTCGTGCCTTGCGGATCGCGTGACAGGCATGTGCACGTGCTGCACAGCCATCCTTTCCATACACCCGACCGGGCGCACACGGGCAGGATCTCGAAACATGCCCTGTCTTCTGGCAGCGGCCCTGTGTGGCATCCCGTCACCGCACAGGCGGTCGTTGGGCGCGATGCTTGCGTGCCGCGACTGCGCGGGCATCAGATCGGACCGTCTTGATGCGCCGCGACACGGGCGGAGTTGCGCCGGCCGCTGGTTTTTGGACCGCACCGGCGCCCGTTGGAAAGGATGGCGAGTATCCGAGAGCAAGGGGGATTTGGGAATGGGAGGGGCATGGGGGGCGTCGAAAGGCGTGCTGTGTTTGGAGGTTGGGGGTGGGGTCAGTGAGAATGATCGACGTGGGGACAGGCATCAGGGGTTTGGGTTGGGAGTGGTTCGTGAGCGTGGACGCACGGCCGGCGGCCGGGCCGCTGTGTCGTGGGTAAATCCGCAAGAGGCTGCTCTTTGTTCGGCGGCCGTCAGCTGCAATCCCACTCTTGCGGTGTCCAGGGGCGCTAGATTCGTATCGTGTCGGCGACCTTCACCGTTCGCAATCGGCTGGGCCCTTCCGGGCAAAACTCCCCGAAGGAACCGCCTTTCTCAGCCAACCCAGTGGACAGGGAGCGCTTCGCTACTCGCTCGAGCCGAGCCAGAATTCCGGCACGATCTAAAGCACCCTTCTGTTTGATCTTCCTGATGCCCTTTGCAGGACGCCCCCCATCATCGGGTGCCACCCACGGGAGGGAACAAGCGATCTGGGGCGCCGATCGGCCGGGGGGGCGTCGAGCATCAGGGAGGGCGGGCGCGCCCGCGGCACCCGTGACAATCAGCAGCAGCGTCCGGCTGGTGCGATGCCCCACAATTCCTCAGCGGTGCCGAGCGCGCATGCCCACACGCAACTCATCAGGTGAGCCCCGGCGGTTCCGGCGCCGGTACTTTCCATGCCCCGTCCCCGCAAGGCTGTCTGCCCACCAGCGGCTGCCACCGTGCCGACAGTGCTGTGAACGTTTCCGCGACTTTCCGCCGACGATCAAAGATTCCCTCTCCGCCTTTCTTTTTGCATGCGCTTGCCCATCCATCTGTTGCCGTGTGAGCGTCAACGGATCCGGTGTGAGGAGGGGTTGGAAGCGGCTCCCGCAGCGCAGTGTGCCCCCGCCGCCCCTCCGTAGCGCGGCCGTTTGTTCGACACCCGGGTGTCAGCGCTCAAGCGTTGTGTGCGGCCCGACGCGCCGAGTTGACCGTGATGTCGCCGGGCGAGGTCGCATGTTGGGCGGCAGGGCCTGTGGCCGGGGGCACGTGGGGTGACCTTTGTTGGAAAAAGGGGTACTAAGACGGTGATGGGATTGAACCGCTGCCGCTGGCGGCGTGGCTGGGATCGACAGGCAGACTGTCGCCCTGAGAGGAGTTCGGGGCAGTGTCCTGTTCTCTCGCTGTGCAGCATTTAGTTCGTTGTCCTCCCGGCATCCCAGCCTGCCCAGGCTCCCGTTTGCTGGATTCGCCCGACGCGGGCAATGATTTGGGAGCGGTGTGATTTAGAGGGAGGATACGCATCCCCAGAGCGCTGCGTTGGTCAGAGATTCGCAAAGTGCCCTGGTCGCGACTTCAGTGTGTCCGGCATTGATTAGCAGGGGCGACGAAAACGCGTTGACGTTTCACTGCGTTGGCCCTGTCTTGAAGCAGTACCGCAAAATCATCAACGATGTATCATGTCATTTTTCAGCACGTTCGAATTTGGTACCTCAAGTTTGTCACGAAAAGACATTGGTGGAGGGGGGTTGGGCCCCGGGGAGGCTGGAGAATCCTCAAGCGATATGAACGACACGGTTTTTTGTGTGGCGGATGATGTGCGATGATTCAGGCTCAAGCCGATGACGGAGGGGGCCGCCTGATTGGAGGCAACTCCCCTGCGACCCCCCTCGCGACACCACTTGGGCAGGTTCCAATGCGCCTCAAGAGCCGTCCACGTCCCCTCCCCCGCCACTTCCACGGCCACTTGCCTGGCCCCCGCCTGACCTTCTCCCTTCGCAACTCCGCGGCAAAGGTGAGGCCCGTGCGCCAAGGCAGCAGCGGCCGGCTGGCGCCGCACGAGCGGTGGCTACCGACGGCCGCCTGCACCAATCCTGTGGGCAAGGGGTTGCGCAGCCGCAGCAACAGCGCGACGCCCGCACAGTAAACCGCTCCACCCACCCCCTCCCGCCACGAAATCCCGTGCGAGGAATTTTGCGGCCCAGCCGCCCCCCAAAAAAAAGCCCCCCCCGCCAAGCACCGTCAGCCGCTGCCCCTCTCCCCCCCAAGGGGCCCTCCACCCCGAAGCCGCCCGGAAAGTGCCCCCCCGTACCCCGGTGACCGGCTTCCGGGATGACGTGTCGCAGCACCCCCCGGAAAAGGCACAACCACACCCCCGCCAGTCCAACCTGCGGCAAGCCAGCGTCGTTTGCCGCTGTCTTCTTTGCCCAGCAACTTGGGCTTACTGTGCACGTCTCCGGTCGCTCCGGGCCCCCTGTCAGGCTGCCAAGTCTTAAGCTGCCCTCTTCCTCAGCCACGTCTCCGCCACCCTCCCCTCCCCCCACACCCCACCCGTTGAGCTCGACTGAAGGCAGCAGTTCGCGCATGCCCGCCGTCGAGCCAGCCAGCATGGGGCTGCCGGCCCTCCTGTGGGTGGCCGTGGTGGCATCGCTGCTGGGGGCCTTCGAGTACGGTGAGTAGGGCTGCCGGCCACGGGAGGCATGCGGCACCTGCGCCGCGAGCGGCGGGAATGCCGGGCCGGGCCCCACGCGGCGGCCTTGGCAATGGGGAGCATCCCCTTGTGAGAATTCTTTGCCGGTTGCTGCCGTGGATGGAAAACCTTGCGCGGCAGTTTGCCCCTGGGGGAAAGGGACCCGAGCCGGGGGGTTGGCTGTGCATCGGCGCCCCGACCCGCCTGTGCCGTTGCACTGAGGGACGAGGGGATGTGGCTTGCGGAAGGAATGGGCAGCCAGGCGATGCGGGCGGTGTCTTTCGCCCGCTGCCGTGGCGGCGAGGGCGGGGTGGGGCAGATCCTGGCGGCGCGGGCGGACTGCGATCTGAGGGGCCCGGGCCAGATTGGCCCCCTCGGGGGCGGGGGGGGTGCGGGGTGGAGGAAGTGGGGAGAGGGGCGTGCGCGGCCCCACGTTTGTGTTCCGGGTCGGGGGCGATCGTCCAGCCGGGGGCGCCGTGCGGCGGCCGGGGCTCATCGGCGACTGGCGCGGCGGGGCCGGGGTTGTTGACTCAGAGATGATGAGCTGGGGAGGGGGGGTCTGAGTAGGGTTTTTATGGAGTTGGGATCTGGCATGGCGATGGAGGTGCGCCGGGGAGGGGCTGGCCGTCGACGTTGGACGGCGGAATCTGAAGGACCCGAGCCGGCTCAATTGATCGCCGCGGGCCGACAGTAATCTGCACGCGCAGCGTGCGCCCTCCCCCAATGATTCCGCCCGGCGGAATGCCTCCCGGGGGGTGGCTTTCCGGGCCGGCTGGATCGCGCGCCGCGTGCCACGTGCCGCAGGCTATCCCCGCAGCGCGATGGAATCCGGCCAGGCCCCTGCGCTTCGATCCCAAAGAGCATATCCCGCGCGCCCCCGCCCTCCATCGGACAACGACGCGACAGCCGAGCTGCGCTCTGCGCACCACGAACGCCGCTAGACGTCATCCATTCAACTCTCCCCCCTTCTCTCCCCCCACCTGCCCCAGCAAGCCCCCTCTTGCTTCCCCGCCCCCGGTCCCCTCCGGTCAGCTCGTCCGACCGGCGGAACTGACTGCCCCAAGACGCGTACATCCCATCAACAGAGAGCCAAACTACTAACCCCCGCCGCCTTGTGCCCCCACCCCTCGACCAGGCTATGCTATGGGCGTGCTCAACGAGGTGCTGGACACCATGGCCAACGAGCTGTCCTTCGACAAGGAGGTTGGCGGCGCGGTGGTGGTGTCCATCATGCTGTTCGGCGCCGCGGCGGGCGCCCTGGGCGCCGGCGTCTTCGCGGACAGAGTGGGGCCCAAGAAGGCGCAGGTGGGTTTGACCGAATCACCGATGGGCTTGCCGGTTGGCTTGGAACCTGCAAAAGTCCCAGAGAGTGTAAAGGCGCGGCCGTGCCGTTTATCGCGCTGTTCGGCGCCATGGTTTGCGCCGTTGGTGCCAGTCTCTTCGCTGACAGAGTGGGCCCGAGAAGGCGGGTGTCAGCGCAACTGAATCAGCAAACGGGTTGTAATCTGGGCGTGGTATCTGCGAAAGTACCACAGAGTATGAAGGTACCTATTGCGGTGTCGGGCAGGGGAGTTGGTGTTCTTGACGTGGCTTCGCAAAGTGTTTCGGAGTTTGGTGCGGGTGTCGACGCGGTTGGTGCTGACGTGCACCGGAACGGGAGCCAGTCGGGCATGGGGGCAGGGAGCGCCGGCGCAGCGCCCCAGGGGTGGTTTCAGAGTGTGACCTCAAAGGGGTCTCGGGTGATGCCTTGGGGTGACGAAGAATGGGCTCGTCTTGGTTGTGCATTACGGAAAACTGAGCGGACCAGGGGCATCTCACAGCGCGGTGTGCCCTTCTGGTGCTTGTCGTCGAGCTGTTTGTGCGCCAAAATTGTGCATTACGTTTGAATGAGCGGACCAGAGCATTTCGCAGCACGTTGGGTCGTGTTTGCGCGTCAAACGACGTTCAGAGGGCGCCGTGCTGCGAGACGTGCGGTCGGCGTGGTGAGCCGCAACGTTGCCCAGTCGCAGCAGTGCTGATCTCGTAAAGCGCCGCTTGGCGCGCTGCGGGCAGTCGCGTGCCATGGGACACTTTTGCCCGTACTGTTGGTCTTTAAACCCCTTGTGCATAGTAACGTAACGCTTGGCCTGCCGTTGCGGAGAAAACAATAAGCAATAGATAACGCTCCAAATAAAATTTGTGCGGAACCACGTGAAATAAATAAAAGTAACGCTCTCAAAAACAAGAGCGGAGCAAAAAGCGCAACGGCACGCAACTTTTTCAAGCGGAAGGGTTGAATACAGTACAGTATTCACACCTAGTTGCAGAGGATTACGTCAGGTCCCGTCAATACCGAGTGTGGTATAGCGAAGTGTGGTACAGCGAGACTGTCTTGGGATTTTCAACCCCTACGCAATTTTATTATTTGAGCATGACGGAGCTCCTTCCGCTTTTTTGGAAAGACCGTTGACCACCTTATGCCGCTCTCCGCGTCCTGTAGATGCAGACGCAGGTTATGCAGAACAACCCGCCGTTGAAGTTTTGAGGGTAGCCTGTCGTAGTACATTCAACCCTTCGGCAGCAACCAATTTTGCCGTGACGCCTTTTGCTCCGCAATTTTTTTGGAGCGCTATTTTTCTAGGTCGCTCTGCGAACATGTTACTGCAAGTGCGTTATCTATTTTTATTTTATTGTTTTCTCCGCCCAAAAAGGCCAGGCGTTACGTTACTGTGCAGAAGGGTTGAGTGTACTACGACAGGCTCCCCAGCATATCTTAGGTCTGTTTCGTGGGAACGCCCGCCCAGCCCCCACCCCCACCTCCCAGAAAAGAGAAGAAAGAAGGGTGGCGCTCTTGGGTTGAGAGGCAGCGAAGTCGATGGTGTAATCCAAAGTGGATGGGCCAGGGTGTGTGCGTGGATGAAAACTTGAGCTTCTCATGTTTACTGTGCACATGAAAGTCCCTCTGCTGGGTGGGCAGCTGCAACGGTGGTTGCGAATTGACGCTGCTGCGCATCCGTTTAGAGGCGTTCGCGCGTCTCAGATCTGAAGGATCATGGCCCCATAATTGCGATTGGCGCCTGTCGCGTTTTGTTGTACGGCAAGCAAAGGCGAACAGGCTGCACAGCATTTACTTTTGGTAGAAAGCAAAGCACATGAACAAATCACGCCGTGCTACTTGTGGCAGGGCAGGACTCACTAAGCTGGGCTTGACTGCTTGTGTTGCACACAAAATGTCGTTCTCTGTTTTCGAAGCAATGCAGGCAAGCAAGCAACTCAAGTTTGGCTTGAAACGCGTTGCAGCATAGGTAATTCGCCTTTGTCGTATTGCAACCTCAATAATATGGCCCTTGCTGTGTGTGTCCAAGACACAACCGCCCTCAATCTGAGCGTTCAAATGCTTTGTGGGCAGCCGCAATTCCAGACCACAAAAGCACTGGCGTATGCCTGTGATTGCTCTCTGTGCTGCTCAACGTCTCCCCATATACTTGGTTCACTGGTTAAGCTCTTTGTTTCCCCTCCTACGCTCCGGAGTATTCCACTCTGAATGCAAGCTAGAAATGTGCCGAGGTCATTGTCCGTCAGGAATTGAACAATTCCAGTATGCACTCCTTGGCTGGTCAGTTATGTCCAGCGTTATGAGCACACTTTTGGACTGCGCTCCTTGCATTGTGAAATGGTTGTAAAGAGTATGAAAAGCTCTGGAATTACTTGTCCACTCGGATAGAGTGGCTGGGGTGTTCACAGAGCAACTAAGAGTCATCGAAGTTCGTGTGAGCTGCTGTGTTTGAACTCATGCTGCCTGATCGTCAGAGTTAATCAGCTTCAAGTGCCCTGCCCAGTGTCTCGTTGTTTGCATTGCTGTAGAGACACAATTGCTGACCAGTTTGCTCTGTGCTGTGGCTGCAGGTCGTTAACGTTGTATTCTTTGTAGTTGGTGGTGCCCTCAGCGCTGTGTCAACGAAGAGGCAGTTTTGTTGGACGGGCTTGGGCCACCTCAACGGATGTGTGCCTAAACTACTCTTGCTTGGCAGGATCATCACGGGGTTTGGTGAGATTCTTGCTGCTTCTTGTCCTGTCGTGTGTTGTTCGATCCGTGGTGGTGGAAGGATACGTGGCCTCTGGCTGGCTTGTTGCCCAGCCCCACGAGCAGCCCTGGCTGTGTTGTTTTCCCTCATTGACAGCTTGCGATAGACTTTACCTTGGAAAATGGTCTGACTGTGAATGCTTTGGCACAATCTGTTTGTCATAGCCTGGCGGGGTCATCTGGCAGGAAGTTGTGTGCTGTTTTGCAGCATTGCTTTCGTGTAAGCATCTGTTGATGCATAGTACCATCTGTGCTTGCAGGTGCGGGCTGTGCCTCTTTGTATACTCCTCGATACCTTGCAGAAATTGCCCCAAAGAATCTCAGGGGCTCCATGGGTGGATGGTATCAGGTACCCGAGCTGCCTGCCCTTTGAAGCTTGTGAACTGTATTTCTTGAATTCATTGCCACGCAATGTTCAAGAACCAAGTTTGTGAAGCGATGGATGGCTGTTGTGTCATTTTGACTGGTGCTCAGGAAATGTTTACAATGCCCATGTGTACCCCAGAATCTGAGAAGTGGGTCCCCAGGACTCGAAAATTGTTTAACTCTTTTCATTGTTGACAGTGTCAATTTATCATGCTGTCCACTAAGGATTCCACGGATTGTTTATTTTGCACAGTCCCTGCAGAGTTGACATGTGGCTCTTGGTTTTTGGTTATTGTTGTGAATTGGGAGAGCGAGTCTTGGTACACACAGCTGTTCACAGATCCTTTGCCTGTACCGGCAAGTCTCGGTACAATGTGGTGTTATATACACTTTGATGCATCAATGCGGGGACACCAACTTTCTTTTACTGACCCATGTGCTCTCCGCATCAGGTCTTGGTCAATGTAGGGATCCTGGGGGGCTACCTCGTCGCCCTGCCCTATGGTTTTAATTTTGAGGATTTCAGAATAAACGGCGTGACGATAGCCTGGTGGCGTGTGATGCTCGCATTGTCCATCGTGCCAGCGATTTTGCAGGTTGGTTTGTGTGTGAATCCACTTGTGCTCTGGTTCAGTTCGGTCTGAACATCAAGGGGGCAGAGGGACCTGTGCAAGTTCTGGTTGGATTCGATGCTCTGATGCCATGCTCGACATCACTAAACGTGCTTGTCAGGATAAAGGCACACAGGTTCCTGTGTGAACTGTTATTGCAAGCTCTGCAATAGGTCGGATGTGAAGGTGTTAAAATGTGATATACATTGTTGATTGCATTCACCAGAATGTGGCCAGCATACAGTACTATTCAAAACATGTCAAGCTTTGAAAGCTGTTGTGTCAGGCGTAAAACTTGGTGGTCTTGCACCTGCAGTTTTGTGACATGCTTTCCAAGCCCTGCACACATCACATGCCCCATTTTGCCATTGGTTCTGCAGCTTGGGATGTTCACGTTCTGCCCGGAGAGCCCCGTGTGGCTGGAGTGGAAGGGCATGAAGACCCTGGCCGCGGCTGCGCGGAAGGCCCTGTGGGGTGACCAGGATGGGTGCCAGGCCCTCTCTGAGCACCTGCTGCCCAGCCCAGCCACCCCAACGCAAGCCAACCACAACCACTACCACCACCATCGAAGGCACTCTGGCATGTCGCCCCACAACCACCATCACCATCATCACCACCATCACAATCACCACCACCACCACCCACGCCGTCACAGCTTTGGCAACCAGCCCTCAGGGATGCGCCTGTCATCTATGTCCCGCTCGGGGTCTTCCGGCAGTTTGACAGACTCTTATAGCAGCGCCGGGGGCAGCAGCACGTTTGCAGCCTGGTACGACAACGTGCACACTCCGTACGGCGGGTATGTGGGCATCCCGGCGGGGCCCTCCCACGGCATTGTGAGTGGCAATCCAGTGAACAACGCCCTCACGTTGGACATGACGCCTTACCGGCTGAATGCTGACTACCGCAGCGACCCCGTGCTAGAGTCGCTGATTGCTCGGGAGCGAGAGGAAGGGAAGGAGGTCAGTAGTCCTAGCAGCATGGAGCATCTAAAGCTGATTAGGAACCCTGGCCTGCACAGGATCCCTCGATGCAGATTGTGTGCATCTGCATCGACTGCCATTTGTCAGAATGTGACAGACCATTCCCGCCAAGCATTATGGCACTATTTGGCAACGCCTGTCCCTTCTTGCAGCTTATGAACCAGAGTCTTCCTGTTGCTTGCACAGTGGTGTCGCTATCAGCAGATCCGATGGTAGTTGCAACACTGAGAAAGGGGGACGGTTCCATGCACACGGTGCGGCAGCAGATATGTCCAGCTTCGTGTGCACAATGGAGCTGTTTTTGTTTGCTTCCTTTTTGGGGTTGACTGAATGCGTATACCCTTGTGGACAGTAGAGTAGCAGCATGCTGTACTGACACTGGTACGGTACTGTATGCCGTTGCTTGCATGCGTCGCTATCACTCATACAAGTGGACACCATCGCAATTCTAGTGGTCTATATGTACATTGCAGCAGTAACTTTGAAATCCCTTTGTTGTGAGTTTTGAGGTGATGCTAGTGTTTGATACGTCAATGGGACAAATGCGCCCCTGCATCTTGGGGTTATGGATGCGATGCTATGACGTGAATTAGGGGTGGGAATTGCAATTTTGCTGTGCTTGTGGAATATCTTTTATTTTATTGATATGTTTATTTTATTTTATATATTTTATTTATTCATATTATGTTTATTTCATTTGTATTCCATTTTGTCTGTGAGGGACAGAATGGTCGGGGACATCATGCTCAGGGCCTGTCAGTCTCCTGGTTACTTTCTTGACAACAAGAGATTGCAGCATTGTTGAGTGTACCTGACAGTGCCTACTGAACATCATTGCAAGCAGGCATATAAGAATGGACAAGTTCTTGAGAAGTGTGTAACGGAACGATTGGTGGTGCCATTTGCAGGGCACTGTAGAAGGCTGGAGCGCTCTGGTGATGAGGAAGTACCGTTGGATGGTGACGCTTGCGATCGGCATTCCCATTCTGCAGCAGCTCTCTGGAGTGAACACAGTCGTGATGTACTCGAAGCAGGTGATGCTTAGCACCCGCTGGCAGTGTATTATGTGTGTACATTGTGTTTGTATTACATGCATATATTGTTTTTGCGAGCGAGCGAAGCTAGCGGAGCTTTATAGAGCAAAATCGCGATTTTATATCTTTTATGGGTTCGTTATGTTGTTAGAGTATGAATTCCTGTGTTAGGTTCGTCTGGCAAGTCGCTGGTTGCTGAGGATACAATTCCCCAGTTTCTTTCCTTGTCAGTTGTCTCCTCCCCCTGAATGGAGAAGTAGCTTCACCGGTATCTGTGCTGTCTTCGATCGCTGTGCAGCAACCCATTGTGTCCATCGCTGCTCTTGTGTTGGCACAGATGATTGTGCGAGGTGGTATCAACAAATTACTGGCAGTGGCAATGCTGCAATGGAATTGTGTGCCATATCCAGATGTTCACGAAGGCTGGCGTCAGCAACCCCCTAGCAGGGACGATCTACACGGGAATCGTGAACTTGGTGATCACAATCTTGTCTACGCCATTTGTGGACCACCTCGGCCGCCGGCCTCTGCTCCTCATGAGCCATGCTGGCATGGGCCTGTGCCTTGTGGGTCTGGCAACGAGCACCCTTGGTAAGAATTCAAGCACCGGTCGAGCGCATTGCCCTGAAGGTGGTAAAGGCCAAAGGGCGGAGGCACGGATGCCTGTAATAGTGCTCGACTGTAGTATTGAAATGCATGTTGATTAAAGCACTGTCCATAGCAATAAGAGTGCTGGAGTAGTTGACTTGAGAATCTTCTTCTGGTGGCAGCGTCGACGCTGGACAGGACATCCTGACACTACTGCTTTCGGGCGCTCAGGCCTGCTTGCATATTGTGTCTTGCCATGTGAAGCATAGGTGCTCTCATCAGTGGCTGAGGGCCCCCTGCGACGACAGCCGTTGATATGCGTGGGTGGTGCTGGTATCTGCACTGGCCGATTAAGTCTGCTTCCGTGCATGACACCCCCACCCACCCACCCACCCTTTCTCCTATCCTGTCACCCTTCTCAGGATGTCGTTTCCTAATCAATGTGAGCTCTCGCAGCCATTGAGGACACAGACTTGGGCTAGGGGAGCCATTTGAGACTGTGAGATCAGTTACATTCATCGGTTTATGGGGCATATTTGTGTGCCCGATTCTCCCAAAAAACCCTTCAGGCTTCCTAAACACCACGAATGTGTTGGCGAACGTGCCACAACAGGCCATGCACCTCCTCTTTTGGGCAGGGGCCGGCACTTGGACTCTCAAGTGCGACGTCTTGGAACAGGAGGAAGAAGAAGAATTCCTGCTTGTGGTGTGGTGCCAAAGGCGGGCATGTCACCGTCCGTGCTATGTCTTCAATACTTGACCCACCAGAATGTACCATGGCCAGGGCCGCCGATGTGTCACTCCACCACCCACACAATCTCAAAAGACAACTCCGTTGAGCAGCACCACACAGTACTATTGTTGTGGAACAGTAAGAGAAGGGGCGCATTCTGAACACGTCGACCTGTTGTGCTTGCAGGATCTGGGCCTGCTTGGTTGGGAACAGTGTCCCTGTTCTGTATCCTCGCCTACATGATGTTCTTCGCAGGCGGCGCAGGCCCCGTGCCGTGGATCTACCTCTCGGAGATCCTGCCCGAGAGCATCAAGGGTCGCCTCGCTGCCCTCGCCACAGCGCTCACCTGGGTTGTCAACCTGGTTGTTGTGTTCACGTTTCCCCTCATGATGAACACCATCGGGGTCTCGGCCAGCTACATGGTGTACGCGGCCCTCAACGTGGGCGGCGTGGCGTTCATCTACTTCCTGCTGATCGAGACGAAGTGCCAGTCGATGGACGAGATCGTGCGCAGGCTCATCCTGCCTGACTAATCAGCCGTGCCGCTTCGCCTGGCGACCGGCAGCCACCAGCTTGCCCTCACCCAACGCGCTGTGTGTTGTTGCCCCGGCGATGGAAGCGCCCCATGCCCGACCAAATAACTGAAATTGCTTATGGCAAGTCGGTAGCTGTGTTTGAGTTGCGTTGGGTCTGGCAGTGCTGCGGAGCCATACTCCAAGGCTTATTACTCACACTTGTCGGTATGGCAACCGGTACTGGGCTTCCATGCGGGGTTATGTTTGGCGTGTTGTGGTGAATGGCGGCTTCTGGCGGCCGGCGCCAGGCGGGGCAGCGTTCTCAAAATTCCTTCGGATTGGAAAGACGTGCCGGTGCGGGGCGTGGGCTCGCTCAGCGGCCCGTCCCGCCCGGCCTCAATTTTGAATCTTGGCCCTCACGAGACGAAACAGAACAAGGGGATTGGAAGCGCGCGTCTTTGCCGGGCCCCGGGCCCCCCGGGCGCCCGGCGGTTTTGTGGGGTGAGAGGTTACGGGGCAGATGTTGCCGTCGGACAATTTTGGGGCGGATTGTACCTGTATTGCGGAAAGCTCTTGAGACTGAGGAGATGCAAGGCGACACCAGAAGGATGGTCCGAGGGAACGTGGACGGGGACGCCTGCCTCAAGGAGAAAGCGTTGATATTTTTCATTGGCGGACATTTGGCATTTGTCCTGATGGGAGGGGAAGGGGGGTCCCTGGGGCATGGGCTCGATTTTGGTGTCTTGGCGCCCTGTCGTTTCGAGGTGGTTGTACTGGTATGTGGTACAGATGCTTGTGTGATGACAAGGCCTAGAACAGACGAAGCAGCGGGAAATCCGGGGGAGCGGGCCCCAGAAGGCGCTAGGTAGAGCGTTGCAAGAGCCCTCAAGTGGGCGCTGAGATCGCAAGACATCGAGCCCAAACAAAAAAAAATATGCTTAGGGTTGCGTGGGAGCGCATTATTTCTGTGGAAACGTATGATCGCTTTCCGGAAAAGAATTCTCTTGTTGCAGTCCCTGGGCGGCCGGGACCGCGCAGTGGCTGTGGGGAACACGGTGTGTTTATCCGTCTTTTCCGTCTTGACAGCGTCCGTTGATGAGGACGCCCTGGGGCTTTGCTTGTCACGTGTTTTAGCACAAATTCCCGCACACAAGGCTGGTGCAGGGGTGTGGGCGGGGAGGGAAGGGGCATCTCTAACGCTTGTCGAGGGGTGGGGACGGGGGAGGGTGCACGGCCGTGTGCGGTCGAGTCTGTGGTGGGTATCCTTTGAGCCTCTATGAGGGCTGGTTAGGCGACGTTGATGGGGCGGCATTCTGTGTGCCTCCCGCGTTTGCGTGAAGGGGGTTGGTTAGCCATGGCCGGCGGTGGTGCAGGCGGACCGGCGGAACGATGGAAGTAGGGCGGGCGCTGTTGGGGCTCCGCCAAAACAAGCTGGAACTGGATTTAAGGTCTCATGTTCGGATTTTGTAGCGGGAGTTTACCGAGTCGGGGTTGGGGGTGGGGTGGGTTGTGCAGCGGTGGCGGCCACGTCAGCCGCCAGCTGTGTGTGAGTTTGTGTGTGGGGGGGATGTTGAGACAACAGGGGGGACGGGGAGACGAAATCCCAAAGGAAGGGGCGCCGGCCCGGAGCCTGAGCCCACCGTCGTCGCACTTTGTGCCGTGATGGGTCCGGTGGCCTCGACTAGATCTTTCTGTGTACAGTAGTAGACTGATTTAAAAATTATTTGAGCACAGGGCGCCCGTGTCGCCTCCTGAAGCGTCGGGGGTGGACATCTGCCACGCCCACCTTGGCTGGTCTGGCGCCGTTGTTTTCTTCTTTATTTATTCCTTCTAAGTTCGGCAGCTGCATAGGTTTCTAGTTGGCCAAGTGCTTGGCAGGGCCGCCCGAGTTGCTGTTATTGATTCCTGCCGGACCTGTGCCAGTGACCCACTCGCGTGTTAATGGGCAACACCAATATCCCATCCTGTTATGATAGCCTCTCCAGCGGTGCACATCAATACGTGTCCACATCTACCCACTTTAGGCGTTCAATGAGTGTATCCGGCACTTGGCAATCTGCTAAGAGTTTGTAGAATTTATGTGAGTGCTGTCATGGGTGCGGTTGTCGCCACCTCGTGCGATTGTGCGCCAGGGAAGACACTATGTCGAAGTTGTTACGCTCAGCGTTGCTCGGGTTACCAATAATGAGAGCATCATGGCTTAATAATGCGCCCATCAATTGCAACAAGCTGGTGCCCCGTGAGGCCCGGAATGCCATGGCATGGGACTCCAGTAAAGGGGAGCCTTGCCCAGTCGAGGAGGGAACCGTATGGACAAGGCGGTATCGGCCTTTCAACTACGGCATCGGGGCATAGAATTGACGACAACATCCGGGACATCCGGGACACACTCTCGTAACCCTGCACAACTAAGCATCCCAAGCGCAGAAGCGCACTCGAAGCAGCAATAACCCAAAAGCCTCCGCTCGACCTCCGGAGAGAGCCTGTCCCCGCAACACGACGAGGAACAATCCCTCCACTCTGCGACCGTCACATTCGACTCAGGGGCTGAGAAGGAGAGGCCCTGCAGTGCAAAACCGGAGCAATGCCCATCGTTGTCTCGGGCGGCTCTGTGTGTGACCATGGGCCGGCGACGAGAGGGTCCAGCCACACGGTGGCGAATGGCATCCGTGCAGGATTGGCCCTGTTCCACCAGGGCGAATGAACCGCCTCTCATAGGCCTTTCATCCTGCCCGCGAAGTTTCTATTCGGACAGGGCTATGTCTCTTTGCCCACATCCCAAATGGCCAGGACCCAAGCCGATGGGTCTCGACGGCCTGAACTATCGTGCGTGGCACGCAAGGCCAACCGATGCAATCTAAGCTGGTGGGTTTACGGAGAAGGGGCTGCCTGCCGATCTGACCGGCAGTGGTTTGCGGCGGAGCCCTGGAGACAGAAACGCGCTGGCCTGGAACCCTGGGCGGGGTCGCGGGGGCGAGGGGGGGTGGCTGGCTCTGTGACCCAGAGGGTGGGTCCCGTGGATGATTCAGATGGGATGCGGGTGCGGGCAAGATGTGGTGACATATCGGGGATATCGCTGGCAGAACTGGGCGCTGTCAAACCAGCCTATATGTTAGCCCACCGTGGGAGGCACGGATGGTGGCCTGACTGGTAGTAAGTGTCCCGAGCAATCATTATAGGTGTAGATTGGTCATTAAGGGGTGAGCAAGGTATCAGTGGATAGAAAATTTCATAAGCAGTCTATTGGCATATTTGGCAGTCAGTCTGGATGAGAAATGAGCATTTTAGAAGAAATTTTCACTTGCAGTTTGGGGCCACAGGGAACCGGTCGGTTTGATTTAGGTGAAATTGACTAATCTGTTTGTCATGTGTGTGGCGACATGCATGACCATGGTAAGGGACGCACATGCGGGTCCCATGCAAGAGCAACTATGTGGAGACCGCTGCACACTTGAGAGGCCTCCTACCATCAGCCCCTCGTGAAAGATTGTTTGCATTATGGCTGGTGATGGTGATCTGGCCAGCCTGGACCAGATCTCGGAGTGGCGGAAGGCGCAGGCCCTCCCGGACCTGAACGATGTCAAGGAGTTCTGCAAGCAGTTGGAGCAATTCCAGGTTGCCGATTTGCGACGCTGGGGGTCCAAGCATCCTGGACCAACGAGCGGGGAAAAGTCATGGTGGATCGAGTATGGAAGCGTGCCAATAACCTCCAGCGCATGCTCATGGAGGTGCGGGAGGCCTCCCTCAATGATGATTACCGTATCTTCGATGCGGTAAAAGAAGCTGGCCTGGGATTTCATGCGTCGCTTGACATGAGCGCGCTGTCGGTGGCAGTGACTCACCGTCCTCAGAGGATGGAGATTATTCTCCAGTTCGAGGCCATGTCCTACTCCGGGTTGAAGCCCGCATGGGATGCATTCAGGAGGGACGTGGAGGTTTCCGAGTTACACCACTTGCACAACAAACCGGTGTTTTGCCACGTGCTGGAAATTGTGGAGGACGAGATTCAGGTAGAGCAGCAGCGAGTTATGGATAACTTCTTTCAAAAGCGCCTCAAAGTGCAGACCCTGGAGGATGCTTATTTGTTGGATGGGACGCCGGGATCACTGATAGAAGAGCGTCGGTTTTTGACCAAGCTGCCTCCTGGACCGCCCAAGTGCGACCTTTGTCACCCGCACTGTAGAAGGCCATTGAAGGCTGGAATGCTCAGGCGCAGGTCATACAATCTCGGTGGAAGTTCGACGAGGTGAAGGCCGAAGTGCAAGGATGGCTGCAGGGGCACAGGCCAAGCCAGATTTCGATCGGGAGCCCACTCCCCCTGCAGAGAAGCATGGATGATCGCGGTGGAGGGGCAAGGCACGCATGCAGGTGGATTTCGGTGATGTGATAGCTAGAACAATCATCGAGTTAAAGGGTCTGTGGGGGACCATTCAGTGACAATGGCCTCATTGGTGGGTATCAACTTTTTTATAATTTTGAGATGAAAATACTTTTTGTGTACAGAAGAGATCAACGGGATTGTGTGAGACGGACGGAATGGGACAGGGAGCCGCTGGACCGTTGGGTTTAACCCATAGGGATTGGTTGGGGTTGCGCTTACTGGTCCGTTTGGGTTGATGGGCCCCTTGGGATGGACCTTGTAAGCCACCTTTGTTTTTGTCGTATGGTCCGGTGGGTAACATTGTATAAAGTGGTGGGGGTGTGCGGTGTAGCCGCCCCCAGTCTGTAATACTCTTTGCCTTGCGACTGGTGCACCGAGCGGGCCGCCTCATGCGACGAGTGTAAGTCCCACACTCGTCCACTCGCCCGACCTTCAGGTCCCGGACCTGAAGGTCGGGCGAGTGGATCCTTACGGGGGAGAAACTCAACGTCCTTGTGAAGGGGAACAGTACCCCGAGTGTCGTGCATGCGGTCCCCGTTTCTGGTGTTTGCGCATGTCTTATTCCGCTGCGCTTACCCCGAAGGGTCGTGCCATGTACCGGCACAGATCTCTGCAGCGTCAATTTGCTGCCCGGAGG